TTCCACTGAGCCATCTCCCCGGCCCTGCATTTTCTTTTTCTTTCTTTTTTTTTTTTTGGTGGAACCAGGGATTGAACTCAGGCCCTTGTGCTTACCAGGGAAGCATTTAAAGCATTTATTCTACTGAACCATCTCCCCAGCCCCTTGTTTTTTGTTTTGTTTTGTAGTTGTGCTTTGAAAAGGGGTCTCTCTATGTTATCCAGGCTGGCCTTAAACTCACCACATTGCCCAAGATGACCTCGAATTCACGATCCTCCTCCTTTAGCTTCCTGAGTTTTAGGATTACAGATGTGGCCCACCATGTTTCATTATTTTTTAAACATTTCAATGTTTTCTAATAGTACATATTTGTAGGACATAACAATTACATTTATTGTTGGGAGTTTGTACATGTGCAGAAAACATCTTAATTCTTTTTTGTGCCTTCAGTTAATTTTTAATTTACAGTATTTTTTTAGTTGTGGTAAAAAAAAAGCCTTGTAATATAAAATCTACTCTTTTTTTTGGCGGAACCGGGGATTGAACTCAGGCCCTTGCACTTGCCAAGGAAGTGCTTATTCTACTGAGCCATCTCCCCAGCCCCTCTACTGTCTTTAAGTGTGGAGTTCAGTTAAATGTTTTTGTATTTTGGGGGCAGGCATACTGAACTCAGGACCTTGTGCTTGTCTCGGAAGCACTGCACCACTGAGCTATATCCCCATCTCCTATCTTTTTTTGTTTTGTGTTTCGAGATAGGATCAGAATATCTAGTGCAGGCTATACTTGAACTTACCGTGTTGCCCAGGCTGGGCTCTCGGGAATCCTGCAGCCTCAGCCTCCCAAGTGCTGGCCTTGCAGGCGTATGCTACCACATCCAGCTTAAAGCACTGTCATCTTCTAAGCTGAGATTCTGACACTTATGCCCACACCTGGGTGACATCCAGAGACCCTGCAACTGTCACGTGAATACTTGGAGACACAGACTTTCATGGTGGTACTCACAAAGTAAGGGACTGAGGTGACTTCCTGTGGACCCCAGAGCCTGCTGCATCTGTCACAGCAGTGCCCAGATTCTGCAGCACACCCACAGCACCCAGAAACTCAGAGTCTGTGCAGCCACCACCCCCGAAGTCCGGTGCCATCACATGAGCCCCCAGGAACAGAGGCAGCCAACAGGGAGGTATCCTACAGTCACCTTGCACAGAATCCCCCGCTGTCATCCCCTCCTGAGGCTCAGCCATCTGCACCTGGCTGTGCTTCTGCAGGCACCAGGAGCCCCTCCCAGGGGCCACATCCACACTGAGTGGCAAACAGATCCCTGCAGCTAGAACTATGTCTCCCCAGCAGGCCACAGTGGTGACAGTGATAACCTCTTCTCCTCTCCTCTCCAGATGTCCCCCAGTCCCTGGGTGCAGGCAGCTCTGCCTGCTCGGCCACCAACCTGAGCCGTGTAGCTGGCCTAGAGAAGCAGCTGGCCATCGAGCTGAAGGTCAAGCAGGGCGCAGAGAACATGATCCAGACCTACAGCAACGGCAGCACCAAGGTGGGTGGTGCAGGCACACTCGTGTGCACTCCACACAGGTGCACACAGGCACTCGGGCAGACTCCAGCTGGGTGCACACGCACACCTGCATTGGTTCACACCCACCTGCCTGTGTATACCCCATCTTAGCTTATTCTCTTGGGGGGGCTTTTTGGTGTTACGTAGTTCTTAGTTTGTTTTTCTGTTGCTGTGACTGAAGACCACAGCGTGGGTAATTTATAGAGAAAAGAAGTCAGCAGGGAAGGACATAGTTCAGTGGTGAGTGCTTGACCAGCATGGCTCACCTCTGGGTTCCCCCTCCAGCTCTGCAAAAAAACCTGTCTCATTCCCATTTCTTTTTCTTTTCTTTTTGGATTGTTTGCGTGTGTTTTGTCTTTTTGAGACAGGGTCTCACTATGCAGTTCAGGCTGGCCTTGAACTCACTTTGTAGCCAAGGATGGTTTTGAACTCACAGCACTCCTCCTGCCTCTCAGCCTTGCAAGTGCTGAGATTACAGGTGTGTGCTACCATCCTGGCCTGCTTTTGTTTTTTTGAGACAGGGTCTTTCTGTGTGATTGAGGCCGGCCTCGGACTCACCGTGTAGCCCAGCCTGGCCTTGAATTTACAGCAGTCCTCCTGCTCAGCCTCCAGATGTGCTCTCCATGCCAGGGACACCCCAGTTCGAAGGCACAGTAGTGCTGACATCAGTGAGACCCTTGATGATATCCTAATAGCAGAGATATAAGGAGAGCTGCCTTGTGCTGAAGGGAGGACGCATGAAAGAGAGGCTGAGGGCAGGTGCCCAGCAGCCCACTCTTGCGAGACCAAATTCGAAAAACATCACAAAAGGGAAATCACCCAGGGACATGGATGTAGCCTAGTTGGGGTGGCCCCAGGTTTCAGCACACAAACCAATGGTAACAACAACAGACTAATCTGGTGTTATGAGAAGGACACTAATGTCCCTCTTTGTTTTGCAGAACTTAGCCATTACACTGAGCCACATCCTTAGACCTTGTTTTATTTTTAATTTGGGAGTCACTAAATTGCTCAGACTGAGGTCAAACTTGTGATCCTCCTGCTTCAGCCTCCCAGAGTGCTGGGATTCCAGGCGGCACCACGTAGTCCATCTTTGTGGCACCTTTCTGGACCCACCTGGCCTTGGGCACTATGCAGGTGGAGCCAGATGGAGCCCCTGCTGGTGCCGGCTGGGCTCTGAGCCCCACACACAGCTCAGCACTTCCATCCTTCAGGCAGTGGGGGTCGGTGCTGATACTGCTGTGCAGTGAGGAACCCGTTCCTAGAGAGGCTGAGTGTCTGCCTGAGCTCACACAGCTGCTAGGTGACCGGACTGGAATTTAAGCCCTGAGAACTATGTCACTTCTCTGCCCTGAGTCCTGTGGGAGTGCCTGCTGCTGTGGCCACACAGGAGCACAGTGACTGTCCCATGGACACAGGCCTGTGGCTTGTGGACAGATGGTGCTGGTCAGACCTGAGCTGCCCAGCCCTCCTCTCAGGCGTCTCTGCCACAGGACCGGAAGCTGCTGCTCACCGCCCAGCAGATGCTCCAGGACAGCAAGACCAAGATAGACATCATCCGCATGCAGCTCCGCCGGGCTCTGCAGGCTGGCCAGCTGGAGAGCCAGGCAGCAGCAGATGAGGCCCCAGGTAAGTCCCTTGCCCCAGACAGCCTCACCTGCCTTTCACCTCCCAGGGCTCAGCTGCTGGCCTAGAAAGCATCTTTTTGATGGCAGAGGTGACCCTACTACTATGCAACTCACTTTCCCATTTGTCCCTTGCAAGGTTTGGACTAGGTCAGATGTTAGCAAACTGCTACCCTCAGGCCAGACCGATCCCCTGCCCAAGTCAGGTTTCTGGTGCACAGCCACAGCCACAGCCACAGAGTCCTGCAGCCTGCTTCAGCACCTAGCAGCAGAAAATGTTTCCTGTCCAGCTTTTTAATGGAAACAGTGTGTAGAGCACTGGAGAAGAGTTGCCTTGTTCACGGGCCTGTGTGTGACCTACACGTGTCCGTGTGTGTGTGTGTGTGTGTGTGTGTGTGTGTGTTGGGGAGCACCGCGGCTGACCCACCCACGAGCATGTTGGAGTTGTTGGCTGGACTGGTCACAGGGCTGTGGTGTATTGTGTGTGGGAGTGACAGTATCCTTACTACTGTCTTGTAACAGTATTAACGCCACTCCCTGGGCACAGGGCCTCCTGTATCCCTGGGTTATGTGTCCCTGAACTTAATCAGCTGTGTTGGAGACACTGAATGGGAAAAGTGCATCTAGCCTGAGCATGTACAGACCTCTTTTCCTTGTCATTTCTCGCAAAGGATACAACATAACCACTTTCTACAGCATTCTATTGTATCAAGTGTTGAAGGTCACCTACAGACCAGTTGAAGCTTATGAAATGTCTTTGCTGTGGCATACACCCGTGATCCCAGCACTCTGGGAGGCTGAGGCAGGGGGATTACAAACTGTAGCCCAGCCTAGGCAATTCAATAATTTAAACAGGCTCTATCAAAATATAAAGCAAGACCAAAAAAAGAGGCTGGGGAGATAGCTCAGTGTGAAATACCTGGGTTCAATCTCTAGTGTCATCGTCATCGTCATTGTCTTTTTTTTTTTTCCTAGTGCCTTCTTAAGTAAATGAGGAGCTCAGTGTGGAGGCCTGGTTTTGCTTACAGGATCACGATAAATAAACACAAGCAAACAATAGAAGTTTCTTTGCTCCTGGGCCTGGGGGCTGTAGGTCTGCTTTTGGGTGCAGTGGTGTTGCTTCTGGTACAGTTCTGTTCCTGCCTCTCTCCTGGCCTCTTTCTTGTGTCCCGACACAGGGAAGGGGTGGGGGGAGGAAGAGAGCGTGAAGACAAGCTTGCCATTGTTTCTTGTTTTTTATTTTATGTGATGCTGATATCCCTTTTGTTTCTTTCTCTTCCTCTTCCTCCTCCTCTACTCCTCTTTCTTCTTCTCCTCCTTCTCCTTCTTTTCCTTCTCTTTCTCCTTTATCCTTCTTTCTTCTGTTCTCTTTTGTTTTTGAGACAAGGTCTCCTTATGTAGTTCAGGCTGGCCCTGAACTCACTTTGCAGCCCAGGCTGATCTCAAACTCAGAGCAGTCCTTCTGCCTCAGCCTTGGGAATGCTGGAATTACAGACATGTACCACCACGCCTGGCTGATCATCTTTTTTTTTTTTAGCCAGAGCCTCACAGTATAATCCAGGCTGGCCTTGAACTCAGTGATCCTCTTGCCTCAGTCTCCCAAGCGTTAGGATGACACTAGTGCACCCCCACACCCAGAGTGATGTCTCTTATAGCGGCTCCAATTCCATGACCTCTGGCCCTAATCCTGCTCAGCACAAAGCCCTATCCCCGAGAAGCATCCCATGGTGGGCCAGCATTTCCACAGATGAGTTTGGGGACAGGTGCACTCAGCCTCTTAACACTTGTCTCTGTGGCTCCAGGGCCATCTATCTAGGTGGCAGTGTGCATTGTGGCTGTCCCTGTGCCTGGCTAAGGATGTGACAGCAATTGGTGACTCTGAAGTGGAGATTTATGTTCCTACCCTAGGAGTGGCAGGTGCTGGGGTCAAGGCTGAATTCAGTTGTAAGGTGCCTGTCCTTGTGGGTCTCATGGTGCCTGTCTGTCCCTGTAGTCCACCTGGGATAGAAGAGGACCCATTACAGTGTGTCTGTCTCACACCAGGGTGGATAGTCTACCTGTATGTTGTTACCATGATGGTCCTTCCATAACTGTCCTTAGAGCCAGCCTGTGAATAGTGGCATTAGGACAACTGTGTGACTGAGTCAGGTAGAGTATGATTGGTGGACTGGGTGGGGTGTGGCCATGTCACCCTGATTGCTAACCAAGGGAGACACCCATCCTGGTGGTGATGTTGCTGCCGCATCATTGCGTTTGGGACCAGACCAGTCTCACTGCCGAGCATCTTGCCCACAGGGGCTCCAGACCTGGGAGCAGTGGAGCTGCGCATTGAGGAGCTTCGGCATCACTTCCGAGTGGAGCACGCTGTGGCTGAGGGAGCCAAGAACGTGCTGCGCCTCCTCAGTGCGGCCAAGGCCCCAGACCGGAAGGCTATCAGCGAGGTGAGGAGCTGGGCCTGGAGCAAGGTGGGGGCGCCCAGAATGCCCCTCTGCATCGTGCATCTTACCATCACAGGCCCAGGAGAAGCTGACAGAGTCTAACCAGAAGCTGGGCCTGCTGCGTGAGGCACTGGAGCGCAGGCTGGGGGAGCTGCCTGCTGACCACCCGAAGGGGCGGCTGCTACGTGAGGAGCTGGCTGCAGCCTCATCGGCCGCTTTCAGTGCGCTGCTGAGTGAGCCCTTCCCGGCCTCACACTACAGCACGCTGTGCAAGCCCGCACCACTCACAGGTGGGCCTCCCCGCTGGCCCCTGCTGTGCACACTGCCCCTCTTGCCCAACTGGCCCCTTTTCCTGTCTGTGCCCAGCCTTGCCTTAGACCTGCATCCGTTCTCACCCCTCTGATCAGCCCACCGCATCTTGCTCAGATCCCTTAATTCCACCTGACTCCTCCTTGCCTAGACCCTGGCTTCCTTTTTTGTTTTTGAAGTAGGGTTTTAAGCTGGCCTTTAACTCACTGTGTAACCCAGGCAGGCCTCAAACTCATTGACCCTCCTGCCTCCTGTCTCATCCTCCCCGCTGATAGCATCTCAGGCATCTGCCTGCACACCCAGAGCTCAGTGTCTGCTCTGAGTCACTCTGCTGTCCCTTAGCCCCACTATTCAGTGCCTCCCAGCCCATGTTTCCCGTTATCTCAGCCAAGTCCTGAACTCCTTGCCTTAGACCCTACTGCTGCACCTGGCCATCATTGTTTTTTCTTTTTTTGCAGTACTGGAGATTGCACCTAGGGCTTTCACACTGAGCTCTGTCCCAGTCCTTTTTCTAACTTGAGACAGGGCCTTGCTAAATCACTTGGTTGCCCAGGATGGGCTGGAACTTGTGACCTTTCTGTCTCAGCCTCCCGAGTGCTGGGATCACAAGTGTGCGCCACCACACCTGGCTCTGCTTGTCCTTTATTTTTATTTCTTTGTCGTTTTGAGACAGGATCTCACTGTGCAGTTCACGTTGGCTTTGAGCTCTCTTTGTAGCCCAGGCTGGTCTTGAACTTCCAATGATCCTCCTGCCTCAGCCTCTTAAGTGCTGAGATTACAGGCCTGTGCCACCACACTTGATTCTGGTTGTCCTTTATCAGCTACCCCCAGGTGGTGGTGTTTTCTGCGATGTCCCCCCTTCACCTCAGCCCTCTCACCCTGACCCTGATGTGCCCATTGCCCCCATGAGTCTACTTTTCCTCCAGGGACTCTGGAGGTACGTGTGGTAGGCTGCAGGGACCTTCCTGAGAACATTCCGTGGAATCCCTCGCCCTCTGGGACACCTGGGACCCCTGACAGTCGCACCCCCTTCCTGAGCCGCCCAGGCCGGGGCCTTTACAGCCGAAGTGGAAGCCTCAGTGGCCGAAGTAGCCTCAAAGCAGAGTCAGAGAACACGAGTGAGTGAGTGGGTGCTGGGAGCCGGGTGTGCAGGGGCAGGTGGGAGTCCTGAGTGCCTTAATTTTTAATACTTTTAAAACCATTAGGGTGATTGTTAGCTAACAACAACAGTGCCGAGCTGAGCCTGGTGGTGCATTTCTGTCATCCTATCACTCAGGAAGCTGAGGCAGGAGGATTGCTGTAAATTCAGAACCACCCTGGACTACATATTAGACCCTGATTCAGAAAATCAAAATAGACAAAAAAGCCAGTAGGGTGATTGTTATCAAAACAACAGTAACAAGAAACAGAAAATTACAAGTATTGGTGAAGATGAGAAATTGGAACCTTTGATTTTAGGCGTGTAAAGATGAGTGCCGTGGAAATTGATGTGGCAGTTCCTCAGGACCATGAAACACAGGTCAGAGGGGCAGCTCCCTGGTAGAGCACTTTGCCTTTTATGTACAAGGCCCTGGGTTCCATTCCCAGCGCTGTAGAGAATTTAAAAATTGAAAAAATTACTAATCCAGTATGATTCAGCCATTCTTTGTTTTCAGTACTTTGGATTAAACCCAGCCCATCATGCTGAGCTGCATCCCCAGCCCTTCCTAGCTTTTCATTTTGAGACAGTCGGGATAAGTTGCCGTGTTGTCCAGACTGCACTGAAACTTTCAATCCTCCTGCCTCTTGGCGTCCTGAGTGCTAGGATGACAGGCATGCGTCACTGTGACTGGCTTGACCCCACCTTTTTTCTTTTCTTATATTTTTTTTTTTGTGTGTGTGTGTGTGTGTGTGTGTGTGGCCAGCTCAGCCCACCAGGGGGCGGGGCTGGCTGGCATGTGGTGCTGGGGGATTGAACCGCGGTCCCTGTGCTTTGCTAAGCTTGTTCTAAGTAGGTGCTTTAGATCACTGAGCCATCTCACCAGCCCAACCCCACCTTTTTCCTTTTTTTTTTTTTCTTTTCAAAGTTTTTTTGTTAAATTTTTTTTTTTTTTTTTTTTCTTCCCACCTTTTTTCTGACTGCCTCTCCCATTGCAGGCGAGGTCAGCACTGTGCTGAAGCTGGATAACACAGTGGTGGGACAGACATCCTGGAAGCCATGTGGGCCTAGTGCATGGGACCAGAGCTTCACCTTAGAGCTGGAGCGGGTAAGCTGCACTAGGGTGGCAGGACCCAGGAAGAGGAAGAGGGGCCCTGGTGTTGGATGCTGGCCACCCCACTCTGTCTCTCCTGTAGGCCCGGGAGCTGGAGCTGGCTGTGTTCTGGCGGGACCAGCGGGGCCTGTGTGCTCTCAAGTTCCTGAAACTGGAGGATTTCCTGGACAATGAGCGGCATGAAGTGCAGCTGGACATGGAGCCGCAGGGCTCCCTGCTGGCCGAGGTATGGCGGCACAGGTGCTGCAGAGCTGTGCTGAGCTTAGAAGAATGCAGTCACAGCCATGGCAAAGGTGACACCGGGAGCAGGGGCTGGCTTACTCGGAGACTACAACGTACAGTGCTCTGTGTGAGGCGTCAGCCCAGACGTCGCCGCCTGCGGGGGCAGTCCTCTGACCTGTAGCACAGTTCTCAGAGTGTGCTCCTGTCCTTGAGCTACACCTGACCTTATTTTTAAAAAGAGCTGGACAAAGGGCCACAAGCACTCTGGGAAGCTGAGGCAGGAGGGTTGTGGGTTCACATGTCACCTGGGCAACCCACTGAGACTGTTTCAATTAAAAAGGGGCTGGTGACATAGCTCAGTGGCAAAGTGTCCATGAGTTTGATCTCTAGTACTAGAAATAAAGTTTTGAAGAAATAGAAAACTACTATAATATTTGCCTAGGTTCATTCATCCCCAGCACTACACACACACACACACACACACACACACACACACACTCACACACTCATATGCAGAGAATGCTAGCTGTGATAGTGTATGCCTGTAATCTCACATTTAGGAGGCTAAGGCAGGAGAATCACTGTGAGTTCAAGACCAGGCTGGGCTATAAAGTGAGTTCAAGGTCAGCCTAAACTACTTAGGAAGACCCTGTCTCAAAAAAGGAAAAAATTGATCAGGCTTGGTGGTATCTGCCTGTAATCCCAAGACTTAGGAAAGCTGAAGGAGGTGGATCTCTGAGTTCAAGACCAGCCTGGGCTACATAGCAAGACCCTATCTCAAACAAAACAGTAAAAGAAAAATCACAAAAATTTGATCAAGACAGACATTCAAATAAAGTATGGCAACATGTCTCCATTGCTGCCAGAGCTACCATGGCTCAGAGGGTCACTACTAGATAGACCGCTGAGCTATCTCCCTGCACCCCTGGTTTTATTTTTGAGGCTAGGTCTTAATATGCATTCTAGGCTAGGATCACTCTGTAGCCCAGACTGGCTTTGAACTCAGCAGTCCTCCTGCCTCAGCCTCCTGAGTGCTGGGAACACAGGTGTGCACTGCTACACCTGGTAAGAGCTGGGTTTGACAGAGGATGAAACTCAGAAAGCTACTGACCCCTTCTTTGAGCTGTATTGTCTGAAAAATATCTTTCAGTCCATCCCTTGTTTTTTTTTTTTTTTTTTTTCTGTATTTTAGGGAAGGGTCTGCAGGGGGTTCAGGGTCTCACTACTAGATCAGACTCCTAGTGATCCTCAGGGATTCCTGCCCTGGAGCTTGTGTCCTTTGTGGCCCTTGGGAGTTGGGCTCTGGGGATGTTGGGCAGCATCAGTGCCGCCCCACCCAAGTCAGCAGTCTGAAGTGTTCCCCTGATAACTGTCCCTGGCCAGGAACCCAGGGCTCAGTGTCCTTTCTAGCTGAGCCCCTGTGTGGACTGGCACTAGGGGATATGGACATTAATTCACATAACGGCCTACAGAGAAGGGACTGTCAAGAGCTGAGGTTTGTTTTGGTTTAGTTTTTTTAATGTATCTGGTACAGGGTCTCACTATGCAGTTTGGACTTACAGTGCTTTTCCTGTTTTCAGCCTCCACATTGCTGGGATTACAGGCATGTGCCACCATGCCTGGTGTTGGTGGCTGGCTCAGCAGGCCCGGGGGCAGGACTGGCACAGCATGTGGTGTCAGAGATTTAACCCTGGTCCCTGTTCTTCCTAAGCATGCACTTAGTCTACTGAGCTATCTCTCCAGCCCTGGTTTTATTATTTTATTTATTTTGTGGCTGGCTCAGCCCACTGTGGGGGTGGCACTGGCACAGATGTGGTGCTGGGGATCAAACTGTGGTTCCTGCACTTGCCTAAGCTTGCCTAAGCAGGTGCTTTAGACCGCTGAGCTATTTCCCTGGCACCCCTGGTTTTATTTTTGAGGTTGGGTCTTAATATGCATTCCAGGCTAGGTTCACTCTGTAGCCCAGACTGGCTTTGAACTCAGCAGTCCTCCTGCCTCAGCCTCCTGAGTGCTGGGAACACAGGTGTGCACCGCTACACCTGATAAGAGCTGGGTTTGACAGAGGATGAAACTCAGAAAGCTAATGACCCCTTCTTTGAGCTGTATTGTCTGAAAAAAATCTTTCAGTCCATCCCTTGTTTTGTTTTTTTTTCTTCTGTATTTTAGGGAAGGGTTTGCAGGGCGTTCAGGGTCTCACTACTAGATCGGACTCCTAGTGATCCTCCTGTTTGTAACTTTCCAGGTACTGGGATTACAGGCGCGCGCCACCACACCCAGCCTCGTCTCAGTGTGTCCTGATGTGTGTGTGTGTGTGTGTGTGTGTGTGTGTGTGCACACGCACACGTGATCTCTGTGTACCTATATATCTGAAGATGTTAAGAAAGGATCTCACTATGCAGCTGGGCTGGCCTTGGGGATTGAACTGAGGCCCTTGCACTTGCCAGGCAAGCGCTTATTCTACTGAGCCATCTCCCCGCTTCCTCCCTTCCTTTTTGTTCTTCCTTTCCATCTCTGCCCCCCACCTCCAGGGGCCTGCCATGTGGTGGGCCAGTGCGCTCGCTGGCTGCCCGAGCACCACCGAGGGTGTGAAGCAGCGCGCGTCCGGTGGGACGTGTGCACTGAGAACACATAGCGCTGTCCTGTTTTATGTTTGAGCAGTGGTCAGCCAGTCACTCAGGGTAGGCCGGGCGTGTGCTACCACGCCCATAATCCAACACAAGGAGGGCTGAGGCAGGGGGATTGCTGAAAGTTCAAGGCCAGCCTGAGCTACAGAGTGAATTCAGGATCAGCCTGAACTATATAGTGATACCTTGTCTAAAAAAAAAAATCAAAAAACAAAACAAAACAAAAACCCCAGAAAAAATAGTAAAATAGGCTGGTGTCTGTAGCAGTGCCCCCCTGAAATCCCAGAACTCTGGGAGGCTGAGGCCAGTCTGTAGAGCTCTCTTGTGTTGGAGAGGGGCTTTTTTTCTTTTTCTTTGCATTTATTTATTTATTTTTGTATTTTAGTACAGGGCTTACAGGGTCTCACTAAGCAGATCCGGACTCCTAGTGATCTGCTTGTGTCCAGCCTCCCAAGAGCTCGGATTACAGGCGCAGCTACCCTACCCACTGCCACGCCCAGTCTCAGGATCACCATTGTCTCAGCAGGGCTGGCCCTGGTGCAACATGTAGAGCTGGTGATTGAATCCCAGCTGCTGCATCTGCCTCAGCAGGCGCTTTAATCTGCTGAGCTATTTGGCCAGCCTTTTTTTTATTTTATTTTTATTTTTAGGGTCTTGCTCTACAGTTCAGATAGAAGCTAGCCTTGAACTCTAGGTGATCCTCCTGCCTCAGCCTCTCGAGTGCTGGGATCATATGAGTGTCCCACCGCACCGGGCTGCACTAGGCACCTCTTAGTCCAGGCAACTCAGTCAGGACAGAGTTCAGGGCTGCATGCCCCTTTGCTCCTGAGGGCTCTGCCTGCTGTCCTGGCGATCAGAGTCCTCACCTCTGGGGACTTCTCCCAGGTCACCTTCCACAACCCTGTCATCGAGAGAATCCCCCGGCTCCAGAGGCAGAAGAAAATTTTCTCCAAGCAGCAAGGTGAGCAGGTGGAAGGCCTGGGCTGGAAGAGGTGGGGTCCTCAGGTGGCACGGGGTGACACTTTCCCTGTCCCTAGGAAAAGCTTTTCAGCGTGCCAGGCAGATGAACATTGATGTGGCCACATGGGTGCGGCTGCTTCGAAGGCTCATCCCCAACGCCACCAGCACCTTCAGCCCTGGGGCTTCTCCAGGACCTGAGGCCCGGCCCGTGGGGTAAGGTGGGCTTCCCTCCGCACTCCCCCCCAGCTCCGGGGGCTGCGTCTCCACACAGCCCCTGGCCTGTGCTGCAGGGATATCTCCATGGAGAAGCTGAGCCTTGGGCCTGACTCCGACCGCTCCCCACAGAAGAGTCCTCCAGGGCCTCGGTCCAGCACATCCGTCCTGGTGAGCACCTGTCTCCTGTTGCCTCCTGAGCCTGGGTGACATCAGGGTCCTGCTCAGTGCCAGAGCCCAGCAGAAGCCTAGCTGGGGACAAATACCACACTCTTGCAGAACCAGCGCCTGGTTTTCTTTCTGGTTAAACATGGCAGATCAGGGGCTGTAGTCTGGGCTCCAACCCTGTGTTCTGTCTCCAGCACTGCAGAGAAAAACATCGGTGAGTTTGGAGCCAGGGATAATGGCTCATCCCTATAATCTCAGTACTCCAGGAGGCTGAAGCAGGAAGATCTCAAGTTTGAGCCCAGCACGGCAACACTTGTTTCAAAACTTTTTTTAAAAAAAAATGGCTAAGGATCTAGCCTGGTGTAGAGGTTCTGGATTCAACCCTAGTGCCACAAAAAAAAAAAAAAAAGAAAAGAAAAAGAAAAAAAATTGGAAACTGGACCACCTGCACTGCACACTTTACTATCTAGCTTTGATTCTTTTGTATGTGGTCAGGGACGGTGGTGCACACCTCTCATGCCAGCACGCGGGAACCTGAGGCAGGAGGATTGCTGCAAGTCTGAGGCCAGCCTGGGCTAAATAGCCAGATCAAAAAAATAGGGCCTCGCTGGGTGTGGTGGTACTCACCTGTAATCCCAGCACTCAGGAGGCTGAAACAGGAGAGACACAAGTTCGAGTACTTCCTGAGAGCCTTAGCAAGCTTGTGTCTCCGTAAAAGGGCTGGGATGTCACTTACTAAAGAGCCCTGGGTTCAAGTTCCAGTGCTGCATGCATATATATTACTACATATTAAATAGAATATAAAACATTTGGAATTTAAAGTATGTTTGGGAGGAAGAGCTGGAATGGTTTTGCTTTGTTTTTTGTTTTTTGTACTGGGAATCAAACTCATGACCTCACACTTGCCAGGCAAGCACTGTCCTGCTGAGCTGTATCTCTGGCTCTTTTTTTTTTTTATTCTTTTTGAAATAGGGCCTCACTATGTAGCTCAGGCTAGCCCTTAACTCACTGTGTAGCCCAGGCTGGCCTCAAACTTGCAGCAGTCCTCCTGCCTCAGCCTCCTGAGTGCTGACTTTGTATTTGTGCCACCACCCCTTGCTAAAGACAGGGACTGTTGGGGCTGGAAAGATAGCTCAGTGGTCTAAAGCGCCTGCTTAGGCAAACATGCAGGGACCATGATTCTATCCCCGGCACCACATGCCACACCAGCCCTGCCCCCAGGGTGGGCAGAGCTAGCCACACACACCAAAAAAGACAGGGAGTAGTTTTTTTGTTTTTGTTTTTTTATGGTGGAACCGGGGATTAAACTCAGGCCCTTGTGCTTGCCAGGCAAGTGCTTATTCTACTGAGCTATCTCCCTGGCCCCCTAGACAGGGACTGTTAAGAGGAGTTCTGTGTAATCCAGTGGTCAGATGACCCCTGGTAAAGGCAATATTTGAAGAGAGGCTTAAGGAGGGGGATCACAGAGGTGGGGAGATGTGCCCTCTTGGAAGAGACAGCAGCTACGGAAGGTAGAGATCTGCCTGTCTACTCAGGTCCCAGGAAGGGGACCAGTGTGGTTGGAGGCATATGGTCAAGGCGCAAAAGGAAGGGAGGAGGCTGGCAGGGTTGTAGGTGCTGCTGACTCCTCCCTCTGACCTCTCTGCAGGGTTCCCCGAGCCAGGAAGTGGCCACTGTTCCCGTTCCCCAGCTACCTTCAGAGAGCCAGGAGAGCCCAGGCCCTGGCCCGTGCAGGTGACTCCCTGCCCAGCTCCACTACCCGCCCCCCTGACCCGGCCCCCACCCAACGTGTCCTCTCCCTGCAGCTCTCTGAGGAAGTCACCTCTGACCCTTGAGGACTTCAAGTTCCTGGCAGTGCTAGGCCGGGGTCACTTTGGGAAGGTGAGGGTACAATGTTGGGGGCCACAGCAGGAGTTGGGGTGCCCAGGCCACACTGACCATTGAGACCACCTCTCCCCTCCATGGGTCCAGGTGCTGCTTTCAGAATTCCGGGCCAGTGGGGAGCTCTTTGCTATCAAGGCTTTGAAGAAAGGAGACATTGTGGCCCGGGACGAGGTAGAAAGGTGAGGCTGTGTCTCTGTCCCCTTTTCCGGGAGAAGAAAGACCAAGATGTCCCCTTGTGCCCTTGTATTTGAGATCTTTGTAGTTACCCAGTCATCCGCTTGTTCCCCAACCACTAAGTGCTATTTTGTCCTCATTTGTGGATTGCACAGAGAGGTTGAGCAATTTTCCCAACGTTACACAGCTAGGCAGTAGCCTGGACCCACACAAGGGTCCAGGCTCTGAGAGCTGTGCTCCTGATGACTCCATTGCTGTGCCCTTGCTTTGGTGCCAGGGCCCTAAGTTCTAGTCCTGTCTCTGCCACATATGCTCAGAGAGCTGGAGGAAGCCATATTTCCTCTTAGAACTTTGGTCCATCACAGGGATGGCAGTGCAGCCTGATGGGACACACACCTGTAATCTCAGTTATTTGGAAGGCCACAGCAGGAGGCGGGGGGCCAGGAAGTGTCACACGTTCAAGATCATTGTGGGCAACTCAGTATGTCTCCAAAAAAAATGTCTGAACAGTGCTTGATTCTTGTAGAGGCACTGGGATTTTCCCAGATTTCCCAGTGGCCTTTGTAATAATCAGGAATCCGACTCAGAAAGGCTTAAACAAATGAAGGAATTTATTGGTCTGGATCAGAAAAATCCTGGGGAGGGCATCGCTGTATCCGGGTGTTTCCCTCGTTGCACAGTCTGTCTTGGGTGAAGATGCTTCACTCCTGCAGCTTTCCTTGTCCAGAACCATCCCAGTGGGGATCCTGGCACCAGCCACCATGACTTGGCTGCCTATTCTTGAGCCAGTCCTGGCCAGGGAGATGGGTGCTCCATTGGCCTGGGGCCCGTGTCCACCCTGACAGTTGCCCAGTGGAAATAGAGGTTTGCTGTTAGGATGATGGGCGCGTTCTAGGTGCCCCATCAGCAGACAAGTCTCCCAAGGCTCAGAAGTACTCCACTCCAAGTCGCACACAGTGCCAGGCCTTCAGCAGTTCCTTTGGGCTGTGGCCCTGTGTGGAAGCTGGGCTTCAGGGGTACAGGAAACAGCTGTGGTCTCCGCCCCCAGCCTGATGTGCGAGAAGAGGATCCTGGCTGCGGTGACCAGTGCAGGGCACCCTTTCCTGGTGAACCTGTTCGGCTGCTTCCAGACACCAGAGCATGTGTGCTTCGTGATGGAGTACTCAGCTGGTGGGGACCTCATGCTGCACATCCACAGCGACGTGTTCTCAGAGCCCCGTGCTGTGTGAGTCCCCCACCAAGGCCCACCTGCCTCAGCCTCCTGGAGCTCTGGTGGCTGCATCCTTGACCCTTGCCTCTCTCTGCAGCTTCTACTCTGCCTGTGTGGTGCTGGGGCTGCAGTTCCTCCACGAACACAAGATTGTCTACAGGTGCGCTATGCCCATGGAGGGGGCACTGGGTTGGGACTGCCAAAGCCCCACCCCACGCTCACGCCTCCTGACCTTCTCACCCTCCCCAGGGACCTGAAGCTGGACAATTTGCTCTTGGACACTGAGGGCTACGTCAAGATCGCTGATTTTGGCCTCTGCAAGGAAGGTGAGGGATGGGGTCTCAGGACCATGGGTAGCAGGGGGAAGGCACCTGGGGTCCCCATTAGCTCCAGTCCCATGAGTGCCCATGGCCCTGCTGCCCCCAGGCATGGGCTACGGTGATCGGACCAGCACATTCTGTGGGACCCCCGAGTTCCTGGCCCCCGAGGTGCTGACAGATACGTCCTACACTCGCGCTGTGGACTGGTGGGGGCTGGGCGTGCTGCTGTATGAGATGTTGGTGGGTGAGGTGAGTGTCCTCGGCCTTGGTTTCCCTGTCTGTAAGCTGGGACACTTACCATCTATGTAAGCCACTCCTGTGGGAAGGGTCACAGTCCCCAGGGGCTGTACTCACCCCAGCTCTGCCTATCTTCAGTCCCCGTTCCCAGGGGATGATGAGGAGGAGGTGTTTGACAGCATTGTCAATGATGAGGTTCGCTACCCCCGTTTCCTGTCTGCTGAGGCTATTGGCATCATGCGAAGGGTGAGGACTCTGGGGTGCAGTGAAGGGGGCTGCAGGGTGGGAGACTGGGCCAGAAGCCACAGACCCTGACCCAGTTCCTTGCCTGCAGCTGCTGCGCAGGAACCCAGAGCGGAGGTTGGGGTCCAGTGAGCGTGACGCAGAGGATGTGAAAAAGCAGCCCTTCTTCAGGGTGAGTTCCCCCAGGTTCTCCCAGGCCCCTAGACCTTTCTTCCACCCAGGACCAGCACCCCCCTTCAACCTCTCCCAAAGACTAGTGGCTTCACCCTGTGAGCTAGGTCTCTTCAAAACATGGCACCACTCAGGGAACCCCCACTTGCTCCCCTCATCTGCAGCCTATTCCCCTCCTGTACCCACATTGCTCCAACTGGGGACCGCTGTCTGTGTGAGCTCAGCCCCCACTAATCACCAACATCCCCATGCAGAGCCTAAGTCTCCCCTCTGTATGTCTCTCCTCTGCAGACCCTGGGCTGGGATGTGCTTCTGGCCCGCCGCCTGCCACCACCCTTTGTGCCCAAGCTGTCAGGGCGTACCGACGTCAGCAACTTTGACGAGGAGTTTACTGGGGAGGCACCCACGCTGAGCCTGCCACGTGATGCGCGGCCCCTCTCTGCAGCTGAGCAGGCTGTTTTCCAGGACTTTGACTTTGTGCCCGGGGGCTGCTAGCACCCATCCTGCCCACCCAGAGTTCTTAGTTTTTAAAAAGGCCTTTGGGGTTCTCCCCATCCTTGCATCCTCTGTTTCTTCTTGTGCTTGGAGTGAGGCTTTGATGGGATTCACTTGAGGGAGGGTTGGGGTTGTGCTGAGGTATTGGGGCATCCAGCATGATGAGGTGAGGTGTGGGCACCGGATGTTGGGTGAGCATAGGGCTGTGGTAAGCTGAATGGAGTCTGTGGGGACTTGGAGCAACCCAGAGCCTTGGTGCCCCAGGCAGAGCATAGTATATGGCCCCCATGGTTGGGATGCCTCTCTGGAGCACAGCCCTGATGGGATAGACCCACCCCTGGCTCTGGAAATGGCTTTACTGCATGCAGCAGATCAGCCCTGCAGTCAGCAGTGGCCAAGGCCACTGTGTCTTGAACTGCGCAGTGAGCTGCCTTCCCATGCACCCTTGGTGGGGCCCAGCTCAGTGGCCCCGCCCTGGGCACCTGCTCTCACGGGGAGCAGGCGGAGCAGCTGGCGCAGCACAGCCTGGCGCAGCAGGATGTACACCCAGGGGTCCAGGATCTGGTTCCAAGAGGCGAGACGCACGGCCAGTAAGAGTGGTCGCTGCAGGGAACTGGGACTCCAGCCCCCAATGGCCAGCACCACCAGCACCTGTGGGGACAGCGGTGTCGGGCCAGGCCGGGGACTCGGGGATTGAGCTCTCCTGAGGGGGTGAGAAGGATTTAAGCAGGCAGAAAGGAGAGAAGTGCCCAGGCCAGTGAGGGAAGAGCAAGAGTTGCCGGAGAGAAGAAAGACTGCGGACTACTAGCAGGGGAGGGGAGGGAGGGTTGCATGGGTGGGGGAAGTGGGCTACACAGACACCCAAGGGAGGGGAAGAAGATGGAGCTAAGAACAACGCCGAGAAAGGCTCATAAGCTGAGGCAAAGCCTTGGCTGGGGAAGGAGAGGACCCACGCCCGTGAGCTTGTGGAAGGGGGAGGCAGGCAGCTGTGCCCTCACCAGCAGGGGGCTCCAGCAGATGCAGGACACCACCATGATGCCTACGAGCTGGCCCACCATCTCCACGTCGTGTGCACGGCTTCTGCGCGCCGAGCCACCGCCTCGGGAGCTGCGCAGGGTAGCAGAGGCTGAGGCGATGGATGAGGTGGACGAGGCAGAGGCTGAGCGCGGTGCCCAGCGCCGGCGGCTGTCGGCGCTCACGACCTCGGGGAGCCGTCGGGAACGGTGGCGGCGCCAACGTGCGCGCAACAGGGCCAGGCCACTGAGCGAATTGCACACGAGTGCTGCGAGAAGCGCGGCCAGGCCGAGACCGGCAAAGAGACCCGCAAGCACCACCTGGCGCCAGCCCCCAGGTGGTCCGAGGCCAATGAAGCACCAAGTACCCGGGTACTGCAGCTCATACCGTCCTACGTTTGCCAGCGGCAGCAGTGCCACGGCCAAGGCCACCGCAGCCAGCATGCCCAGTGCCATACGCGCACGGGCCACTGATACGCGCGATGCGTGCAGCAGTGGGCGTGTGAGGCCCACACAGCGCTCCACAGCCATTCCGCAGCCCAGCAGTAGCGGGCACAACCCGAAGAAGACCATGCAGCCCCCAAGGAAGTGGCAGGTCCCGCCGGCTGGCGCACGCCCTGCAGCATACAGGCGCAGTACCAGCGCACCCGGGATCACGTGGCCCGCCAGGTCTGTGGCCAGTAGGCTGGCGACAAACAGCAGGAAGGTGGCGGCAGAGCGGCGGCGCCGCAGCCGGCCCGCAGCCTGTGCCAGCAGCACCAGGGCCAGCACGTTGGACACGGCGCCTAGCGTCATGGAGAAGATGGGTAGCGCCGGCGATGCGCTGGGACCACTGGATGGCGCCGACGCGTTTGAGACCCCGGGTGCCTCACATGTGCTCGCCTCACCAGGCAGGCTTGAGTTCAGAGGCCCGCAGGGACTCATGTCAGGTGCCGGGAGGGCTGGGTAGGAGAGAGGAGGGCACGGTGAGGCCTGCTGAGGACTCAGTGCTGTCCCATTCCCAGGTCATGAGGCTGTCAGATGCCTCTGTCTTCTTGTGACTCCAAATGACCTGGATGCTTCCCAGCCTCCCCCTGCACTCTGCTCACACTGTCCCCACTTCAACTCCCCCAGCAACAGCTTTCCACATCTTATCTCTGGGTCTCACAGGCCCAATTGCCCCCTGCTTCACGCTTTTACCTCATGGTGAATTTCTGGCTCACTCTGACTCTGTGATGTTAGCCACCCAGTCTCTGACTGCCCCTGTTTCTGACTGAATCCATGTCACCTTTCCTTGAGTCCTATCCTCAATGCCCCAGTACTACTACACTACCTTTGGCACATCTCTCCCAGGAACCCACCTCTGCCTGCCTTGATGTGGTCTGGCTGTCCTCACAGTCCCATCTGTGCCTCAGGCTCTGCCCTGTGGCTATGTCTCTGTTGCCAGGGCATTCTGTCCTCATGCTCCCAGTTTTGATTTCCATGGTACTGTCTCTGTCCCTGAAACTACATCTCTGTCCTCATGAACCCCGGTTTTAGTCCTGCCTCCCCATTCTCCTGTCCTCTCTAGGACAGGCTCAGGCAGCCCAAGACCACACACACACTCCTCCACTGCCTGGCACTGAGGGCTGACAGGCAAACTCCCCCGGGGCCAGATGAGAAGGGAGGATGGAAAGACGGGAAGATGGGCAGGGACAGACAGTGGGGATTGAGAGCCAAGCAGGACAAGATCAAGGTAATAGTGGTCCCATCTCCTGTGCCCCCTCATGCCCTCTACCCTTCCCTCTTACCTGGTGCTGTCTGGGACACAAGGCCCCCATGGCCCCCACGCGTCAGCACCCACCGCGCCCGGCCCTGGCCAGGCTGTTCCTGCCCGCCCTCTTCCTGGGGCAGCTCGTGGCTCCCGCCTCCACCGCGCCCTGCCGGCCTTCGGGGCTGCTCCACTCTGCGCACGCCCACTGGGGCCCTTCAGGGACAGGGACCCCTCTCTGTGCTCCTGGTGCTGGGGAGGGGCCACTCCGGGCCTTAACTGCCTTGCTTCTCTGAGAGAGGCTCCTGGGAGTTGGCTTGGCCCCTGGGACCCCCACCTCCTGGCCGGGTGGGGGCAGCCCCCCCCAGGGCTTGGGCTTCTTGCCCGCCTCATTAATAAAGCGGATAAAATCTAAACACTGGAAAATATGAGCATCGCCCAGGGCGGGCTGGGGAGGCTGCAGGGGGTGGTACTGCCCCCAGCAAGGCTTTGGGGATGGGGGGGAATGCACAGGGGGGCTGTAGGACAGCACCACCCCCTGTGCTGTCTGAGGCTTTGTGGGTGTTGGGATGAATGACAGTGGCAGTTTTTGGTGGCAGTCCAGGCTGGCTGGGCCCTGCCCAGTATTTACACAGGGCCCCAAGCTCAGACCACACCCGAAGAAGGCAGCAAGGTCCCCAGGGAGCTGGGAGGTCTAGAGACCAGGCCAGTGCCACATCCTTCCCGGATTTGTTGAGTAACACGTCCAACCTGAAGGCAAAGACGTCTTCACACCCTGCACCCCAACACACAGCCATGGCCTCACCTCCAGCCCTGAGAAATAGGGTCATAGCCTTCAGGGTATCCATGCGGCTTCACACCCTGAGAGCTAGCAATGGTCACACCTGTCCCCAAGATAACACTGTTATATCCCTGAATTGAGTGGCTCATTCCCCAGCATGGAGGCCATCCAGGGTTGCTGTGACACCAGCCACTTCCCTTGACACCCTGAAATGCACCCCTCTGGTATGACCCTTATTATACCCTTAAGCGCATGGTGACACAGGCTCACCTTTGAGCCCTATTGTCACATCTCCAGGTCAGGAGTACATTTGGTCCACCCGACATGAGCCCCACCTGCTGTTCCCCAGACCTGGCCCCACCCCAATACCTGTGGTACTACGCTCACATACTTATGCTCTTGGAACCTAAGACTACATAGGTCACCCACGACCCTGTATACCCTGAGGCCTAGCCAGTCAGTCCCAAAACAGCACCACCCTGAGATGGGCACTGTCAGACTCCACACCTCAGATGCCACCAGGTATACCCTAGGACACAAATGGTCCACCCCACTCACCCAGACCCAAGTCACCACCCTCACTTGACCAGTCACATGAAGTGCTCACAGCCACACCCCTTGCACCAGAGCTGTCCCAGCAGACATTCAATGCCCCAATGTGCCCATTGATGCCCCAAGTCATCAACTGTGGCTCCCACCCCACCCATGAACACAGGCCTGGGCTTGGACACACCCCTACCCAGCAGCCCCATTGCAACTGGGGTGCAGTTGGACTCACTTCCCACACCAACAGCTCAATTGGCCCCCAAGTATTCCTGCCCTGGCCCCATCCTCTCCCTTTTCTGCAAGTCTGGCCCAAGTCCCACCCTCACAGTCCTTGATCCCCTCAATCCCAGGATGAAGCCAGCTGTCAAAACAAGGCCGGGTTTATGTCCCATGTGAAACACTGTACCACTGATGCGTGTGGACCCTGAACCTCCAGCATGGGTTTGGGGCCCGAGGCTTGGACTGATGTGAGCCCTCAGGTTGGCCTGACCAAGGTGCAGGGCAGGGGGTGGAGAGGGGGGCGTCTTGATGGAGAGAGTGTAGGATTTGAATCACCCGTCACCAGGAATCTCACGTTGCCTGGAAGCCTGGTGGCCTGCAGCCAGAAGCCGTGTTGGGAGGGTGGTGGGAGAAGGTGGTGGCCAAAGGCCAGCTCCTAATTCAATTTGGAGCTCGAGGAAGATAGATCTCAGCTGCTGCATTCTTTCCCAGCCCCAGTCCCAGCCCACACCCTGCATGCCCAGCCACACAGGTCCCAATCCAGATAGATCCTTTATGTTCAAGACAGAAATTCAGATACAAAAGCCCCTGCCATCGCTGCCCCTGCCTCCCTCCCTTCTGGGAGCCTGGAGGGCGAAAGTGGGGGGTGGCTGGGGGTTCACAGCAAACTCTTCCCCAACACAGAGGTAACAGACTCCAAGTCAGGGGCTCCTTTTAGGAGGGCATAGGGGAAGGGGTTATTGCATTTACTGAGGGGGACCCCATCCCACATTCCCTGTGTCAGGAAACCAGGTCACAAGCCCCAAACAGAACCTAGGCCCCAGGGAGGCGCAGGGACCCATTTGGCAGCTGACAGTGGAAAGCAGTAGGCAGAGTGGTCACCCAGTACAAGTCCATCCCCGGGTTCCTGACCCAGCTGAGGTAGGGGGCCAGGGACCCCAGCAAGGCTGAGATCCAGGGAGACCATGGTACCAACTAGAACAGGCAGGGCTGGGCCCTGCCCTGCTGCTGCTGCACACCACCTTGACCACTGAGCTCCAGCTATGAGCTCCAGCTGGATGTGCAGGATCCCAGCCTGGTGTCCCCTCTGGGACCTCTAGCAGGCTGGCCCTGGTCACTGAGAGGTCCAGTGGGTTCCTAGTATCGGCCAACTTTGGCATCCCCAATAGCTCCCCAGACGTCAAAGACGAACTCGTCCGGAAAGGCAAAGTCACCGAGCTGTTCATCGAGGGCCTCGGCCAGCTCATCCGGGTTTCTTTTGTCCTTCCCCAGCTCAACCATGGTGGCCGCTGCACCGGCAGGGAATAAAACAGAAACAGAGGATAAGAGGAGTGATGGGTTCTATACCGTGTCTAGGCCACCCCCCAGCCCCCATCACCCCAGCCCTGGGTGCCCACTTACCCAGTTCAGTGTCTCTGATCCCCATGTAGCTCTCCAGCAAGTCGTCCACCTTCTCAATGGCCTTCTCTTCAAAGGCTGAGGGCTGAGGCAGAGAAGGGACAGGAACATCACAGTCATCTCACTACCACTGTTAAGTGCCTGCCTGATTGACTGATTGATTGATTTTATAGTATTGGGATCACATGAATCCAGGGGCATTCTACCTCTCAGCTCCACCCTTACTTTTTATATTTTGAAAGGGTCTCACTAAGTTCAGGCTGGCCTTGAATTTGCAGTCTTGCTTAAGCCTTCACAGTGGCTGGCATTACAAGTGTGTGCCGGCCTAAGTATCCTTATTTATCTGCCCTTTTCCCAGCTTTACATAGATTTCCATCCACATTTTTTTTTAATTTTATTTTTATTTATGTGTGTGTGTGTGCGCGTGTGTGGCCAGCTCAGCCCACCAGGGGGCGGGGCTGGCTGGCATGTGGTGCTGGGGGATTGAACCACGGTCCCTGTGCTTTGCTAAGCTTGTTCTAAGTAGGTGCTTTAGACCACTGAGCCATCTCACCAGTCCTCCATCCACATTTAATTTTCATGGCCACTTGGAGAAGAAGGTATTTGGTATTATGACTCCATTTTTCAAATGGGGAAACTGAAGCCTGCTTGCCCAAGAAAGGTTCTAGCCCTTGGAGGTGGCAAGAGTATGCTGGAATACAGGTAGCTGCTCACCTCACGGGTCAGGTGGCCTCCATGAAAGTGAAGGGGAAGGGGTGCTGGCTGCCTGGGGGGACACTCACCAACTCCTCCACTGTAGCTGGGCCCCGAGATCGCAGCCGGAGGGTTCCTCGGCCAGTGCCCAGTTGTGGGCCGGAGCCAGGGCGGCTGCCCCCTGAACGCTGGCTGATCATATCTGTGGAAGGGAGAGTGAAGAACTGACTGAAGCCCTAGTCAGGTACCTAGGCATCTTGCTTTGGACAGCACCTCCCAATCCTCAAGCTTCTCCAGGTGCCTGCAGCCTGAGAGATGGTTGCCAGGAGGGCAGGACCATGCAAGAGGGGCAGCTAGGGCTAGGCCTGGGAAAGTCAGGGTGAGAACTGGAGGAGGAGGCCGGGCTCAGGCCCAGTCCTTGAGTCTGTCTCCACGGCCAGGGGTACAGCTGAGGGCCATACACCTGCTCTGAGGGAAGAGCTTTGAGTGCCCTGCCCCCACTCAAGGGCCTGGGGCCCATTCCTGGGAGTCAGTGAAGCCAGATAGAAAAGTGGGGGGCTGGCGCAGGGCAGCCACGCCTGGCTTCTCAGAGCTGGGGGGCTGGCCAGGGTTGGGGGCGCTTGGCTGGGCTAATGGCTCCTGGGAGGTGGGTGTGGGGCAACTTCCTCCTCATTCCTGTAAGCAGGGCAGACAGCCAGCACCCCGTTCTAGGCCACGGCGGAGCTGCACTTCCTCCAAGGCGCGGGCCAGGTTAGGGTGCCACCTGCTGGTTGTTCTAGGCTCTGCAGCCTGGACTGAGGAGCCAAGGCTGGGTCCCCTGGCTTTCTGCTCTGGGGCTCACCAAAGGCCTTGCGAGGCTCCGTGAGCTTCAGTGTGAAGGTGCGGCCGCGGGGCAGCTCCTTGAGCAGCCGGGCCACCTCGTAGTGGCGGCAGCCCAGCAGACTCTGGCCATTGATGGCCTCAATCATGTCACCCACACTGATGAGCTGGATGTGGTCGATCACGCTGCCCTCCTTGATACGCTGTGTGAGAGGAAAGGGGCATGAGCTTGGGGTCCCTCCCACCACAACCTCACACACACACACAAACACGTGTGTGTGAGTGCGCGCAGCCCTGCCCCAGGGACTGTGAGGAACCTTGATGAAGGCGTAGCCTGCACCATTGTCAGTGATGGTCAGGCCCAGAGCATCCTCCGACTTGAACACCTCCACCTCCTTGCGCTGCCCCTTGACATGGGCAAAGATGAAGTCCTCCAGGCCGATCTGGCCGCCCAGCAACTTGTCCATGTCCACTTTGTGGGTGTTGAGTGTGCAGAACATCACCTGCAGGGGGCACACACCGGTCTCTGTCCCTCTGGGTCCCTGGGCTAACTGCCTGGGACAAGAGGTGGGGAGAAGCTGGGGCCAGGAGTCTCTTCCTGCCTTAGCATCAGGACTGCGTCCAGGCCACAAAGTTTATTTAGGGGCCACCTGGGAAATACTTGTGGGGGGTGAGGAGGCCCAGATTCCACCCAGTCCGGGTCTGGCCCAATGGGTTTGCTCCTTTCCCAGTTGTCCTTGTCCCCCATGGTCCTGGCTGGAGCGACTTACGCCCCCATTGGACCTCCTAATACGAGACGAAGGGGGCAGCAATCAGCCCAGGGCATTAGTCCCCCAGCCCAATGGGGTGCTGGCCTCCAGGGCACCCTGGAAGCTCGGTTTGCAGCCAAAGCCATCAGTTTCCGCAAACTACTGGGGTACAGGCCTCCAAGGCCCTCGGGAACTCATCTTGCAGACAGCGCTATATGGGTTTTCCAGGCTCCTGGGGTTCTGCAGCTTACCTCTGCGGGCGGCAGGCGGAAGGCCTCCGCGATGCGCCCATACAGCTCCTTCACGTTGCTGAAGCCCTCAATGCGGCCGGTGGGGCTGCCGTGCGCCAGCTGGGTGTGGAACACGAGACGAGGGCGCAGCGCAGGGGGTGGGGGCGGCAGCCCAGCCTGGGGGAGCCCTGCGCCCACCCCGCCCAGTGGGCCCTGCTCAACGCCCAGCCCACCGCGTCCTGCCTCGGCCTCCTCATTCTCCACCAGCGGCGGGGCCTTCTTCCGCCGCCCCAGTCCTAGCGGCATCGGCTGAGGCGAGAAGAGAGACCTGAGGGGTAGAGGCAGGAGGATTGTTGTGAGTTTGAGGCCAAGCCCGAGTAACATGAGTTCACAGCAAGCATGGGCTATAGAGAGATCTTGCTTCAAAAAGCATCAAAATAAAATAAAATAAAATAAAAATAAAAATAAATAAATAAATAAAATAAATAAAGGGCCAGGTGTGTGTGTTGGCACATGCCTGTAATCTTAGCACTTGCTGGAGATCGCACTGGGCTAACCTGCACTACAGTGAGACTCTGTCTCAAAATAATTAAACTAATTAATAAAAAAGGGAAACTGGGGACATAGCTCAGTATGAAGGCCTAGGGATCATTCCCCAGACAGTATCAAGGAAAAGAACAGCATTTTCACAGAACCGGTGCCAACTGTGCAGTATACTTTGTGGGTGTGTGTGTGTGTCTTCTTGGGACAGGATCTCCCTAGGCAGGTCAAGTTGGCCTTGAGCCGACTTTGTAGCCCAGGCTGGTCACAAACTTGCAATGATCTCCTTCCTGAGCCTCCTTGGTGCTGAGATTACAGGTATGCACCATCATGCCCAGATTTTCATTTTTATTTATTTATTTTTTTTGTGCGGAACTGGGGATTGAACTCAGGCCCTTGTACTTGCTAGGGAAGCACTTATTCCACTGAGCCATCTCCCTGGCCCCATTTATGTTTATTTTTATTTTTGCGGTGCTGGGGACAGGACCCAACTCTGCCCTGAACGCCCCCGCCATACTGTGTACTTTAATCAACTTTGGGTGACATAGAAATCTTACGTGGTGTGAGTGACAGGCATGATATCCTACTATTTGGGGGAATAATGACATAAGTCCAAATGTGTTCTGCACAAGGCAATTTATCCTGATAAAAATATTTCTGATTCCCTGTTGGCTGGATCTGTGGATGTGGAGCTGGCAATACTGGCACAAAGAGCACTGGCATTGATATTATCATTGCTTATTTTAATGGAACTAGGGATAGAACCCAGGGCCTCATGCCTGCCACGAAAGCTCTCTACTACTGGGGTACAGCCCTAGTTGTTTTTTTTTTTTTTCTTTTAAATTTATTTTTATTTATTTATTTATTTATTTATTTTGTGTGTGTGTGTGGCCAGCTCAGCCCACCAGGGGGCGCGGCTGGCTGGCATGTGGTGCTGGGGGATTGAACTGCGGTCCCTGTGCTTTGCTAAGCTTGTTCTAAGTAGGTGCTTTAGACCACTGAGCCATCTCACCAGCCCCCCCCCTTTTTTTTTCTGAGACAGAATCTAACTATCTAGTTAGATAGGATGGCCTCAAACTCAGTGATCCCACTGCCTCAGCCTCCCAATTGCAGGGATTACAGGCATACGCCACCATACCCGGCCAATCAGGCCCACTTCACAGATAAGAAAATGGAGGGTGAAAGCAGAAAGGATTCCTTTTATTATTCTACCAGCTATAATCAAAGTTAGGCATGGTGGCATACACTCGTAGTCCCAGCACTCAGGAGGCAGAGGCAGGGGGATTGTTGTGAAGTGAGCTCAAGGCCAGCCTGAACTGCATGGGGAGACCCTATCTCAAAAGACCACCAAAAAAAAAAAAAAAAAAAAATTATTAGTGCCATATACAGAAACTACTTCTTCTTCTTCTTCTTCTTCTTCTTCTTCTTCTTCTTCTTTTTTTTTTTTTTTTTTCCGGGGAACCAGGGATTGAACTCAGGCCCTTGCGCTTATTTTACTGAGCTATCTCCCCGGTTCCTTTTTTTTTTTTTTTTTCATGTACAGAAACTTCTGCGTCTGATTTCAAAGCTATTAGGTGGACAGCACTTACCCTGTAGGCTGGGGCAGGTGGGTGAACAGTTTTGGCCCACAAACTGTTGGAGAAGGTGACATGTGGTACCTCCCATCTGAAGCACTTGATTCCTACAGCAAGGATATCTGAAGTGCTATACCTCAGCCAGCCACAAGTGACAGGGCAGTGACTTTACCTGGCCAGGACTGAGTGACCACAATACAGGGAGCCTACTAAGCCAGGTATGGTGGCATATGCCTGTTATCCCTGCATTCAAGGAGGCTGAGGCAGGGGGATCACCAGTTCAAATCCCATTTGGGTAACTTAGTGAGATTTTGTCTCAAAATAAAAATAGAGAGGGCTGGAGATGCATCTAGCAGTAGAGAGCCTGTGTTTGAGCATAGTACTTCAAAAACAAAGAGGGTCAGGGAGATGGCTCAGTAGAATAAGTGCTTGCCTGGCAAGCACAAGGGTCTGAGTTCAATCCCTGGTTCTGCAAAAAACAAACAAACAAAAAAACCTCTTTTCCCTCACCCTCTTGTTGCTTCTGCAGTCTTCGGCCACCACGACCTGCTGCGTTGGTCAGGGGCCACCCAGCATTCTAGCCAGTAGATTATGGGCTGAAACTTCTATGACCTATGTGCTAAATAAACAAAACAGGGCTGGCCAAGTAGCTCAGCAGATTAAAGCACCAGCAAGTGGGTGCAGGGGCCGGGGTTTGATCCCTGGTCCTGCCCTGCCTGGGCCCACTGAGATTGGGCGTGGTGGCGTGCCCCTGTAATCCCGGCTCTTGGGAGGCTGTAAAAAGGCGGATCACTATGAGTCTGATCTCATAGTGAGACCCTGAACACCTTGTAGACCCTTCCCTAAAATACAGAAAGAAAAAAAAAAAAAACTAAACAAAACAAATAAAAGAGAATCTCTTGCTGAGTTGCCATGGCTGTGTAGTTAAGAGCCAAAAATAAACTTTGGTTGATTCAACCACTAAAATATGGGAATGTTCATTACTGCAGCAAAACCAACAGATACACAGTTGTGTGTTCCATAAAAGTGTTACCTAGGGGTGGGTGCAGCTCCGTGGTGAGTGCTTGCTTAGCCTGTGGGAGGTCCTGGTACAATGCCAGCCTCACAAACAACAAAAAGAACCCATCGTCTACTGACATTACGGGTGTCACAGTTTGACTAAGTACTTTCCACGTTTATAGAATAAGAACTTGCCTATTTCCTTCTTCTGTTTCTTTATGTCTCTCTTTCTCCTTCCCTCTCTTCAAACAAACATGGGGGTGGGGTTGTTACTATATTCCACACACTGTTTTTTTGTTTTGCTTTGTCTTTTTGAGACAGGGTCTTGCTATGTAGCCGAGGTTGGCCTGGAACTTGTAGTGATCCTCCTGCCTCAGCCTCCCATGTGCTGGGATTACAGGTGTGTACTACCCGTAATATCGCTCTGCATTTTATATTTTAGTAATATAGGTTATGGGGCCAGGGAGATAGCTCAGAGGCATAAGCACCTACCTGGCAAGTGTAAGGTCATGAGTTTGATCCCCAGTACCAAAAAAAAAAAAAAAAAAAAGCTCATGAGCTGGGTGTGGTGGCACATGTCTGTAAGCCCAGGACTCAGGAGGTTGAGGTGGAAGGATCACTGTGAGTTCGAGGCCAGCCTGCACTATGAGGTGAGTTCAAGGCCAGCCTAAACTGTATTGTAAAACCCTGGTTCAAAGACAAAAAAAAAAAAAAAAAGAAAGAAAAGAAAAGAGAGAGAGAGCAAGCCACAGAAAAGATCCCTGGCTAGAACACCATATGCAGTTACACAGGTTGGGCACTACACAGACCCAGTAGACCAAGGTGACCAAGAACTGAATGCTATCCTGTGCTCTGCCTGCCAACCTCCACTCCGTCATGTCACTGTGTTCAAAGGGAAAGGGTATCTGTACCAGATGGAGCTGTGAACACACTCCTGGATAAATATCCAGTCCTGAGGTAGAAACCAGCAATAAGCCAGCAAATGTATACATTTCTAACATCATTTCTACTAGGGCTGTGAAGACAAGAAAGCAAGACTAGCTGGGTGTGGTGGTGCGTGCCTGTCACCCAAGCACTCAGGAGGCACCGCTGAGGCAGGGAGACTGCCATGAGTTTGAGGCAGCCTGAACTACATAGTGAGACATTGTCTTAAAAAAAAAAAAAAAGACAGGAAGGAAGGGGGAGGCTGGGGAGATGGCTCAGTAGAATAAGCACTTGCCTGGCAAGTGCAAGGGCCTGAGTTCAATTCCTGGTTCCACACAAAAAAAAAAGGAAGGAAGGAAGGAAAAAAAATACTTGCAAATCTAGTTCTACAGAATGGTCAGGGTCAGCTCTCTGTTCTCAGAGATCTGAGGGATAACGAAAGAATCCATGCAGGAAACTGGGTGTGATGGTGCGCAGCCATAATCCCAGAGCTTGGGAGGCTGAAAACAGGAGGATCACTACGTGTCTGATCTATGTATTGAGACCCTGTAGACCCTGTATTAAATACTTCAAAAAGGGCAAGAAGGTTCCTGGCACTGGCAAAGGAACAGTCAGTGCTAATGCCCAGCACTGGGGACTCACTGAGGAGCAGTGAGGGATACTTGAGGGGTGGGGACAGAAATAGAGGGAAAAGCGTTCTGCACCTTGGCTTTTACACCCCAGTAGATGGGAACCATGGAGGGTGTCTCTTGTTGCTGGAGCAAAATACCTGATGCCCAAAATTAAGGAAGGAGAAGTTTATTTAGCTCACAGTTTGTGGAGGTTCCAGTCCATACTTGGCTGGCCCCTGCCTGTGGAAGCAGAAAAAAGCAAAAGCAGCGAGAGCAAAAGGGAGGAGCAGCCGAGAGCAAGCCTCTCTCCCTCCCTCACACTGTAGGCAGGCCCAGGGTGGGTGGAGCAGGCACAGCCATAACCCCAGCATTGGACCATGTCAATCACAAACTCCAGAAGCTGCCCCATGACTGCGTGAGGCACTGGGGGTCGGGGGGACACCTAGGCACAAGCCACATCGAGGGTTCTGCACTATGTATAGCTGTACCCTGACTTAGCTCCTGGATCACATTCTTCTTTTTTTTTTTTCATTTTAATTGAGACATGGTCTCATTATGTAGTCCTTAAACTCCAGATAATCCTCCCGCCTCAGTCTCCCAAGTGCTGGGATGACAGGTGTGTGCCACCACTGAAGGAATTATTAACATGCTGCTCTATCCAAAAGCACTGCCCAGTACCTTCCTGTCAGACTTCTTTGGGGACATCCTATATTCAACCCTGGCTCAAAATTTTAAAAAATAAATAAATAAATAAATAAATAAATAAATAAGGTAATAGGGGATGTAGCTAGATGCAAGCTCCCCCCTGGGGGGGGGGGAAGACCCTTGTGCCTACCTGTGCATCCATTTATCCATTTACTGACTCACTCACCTGGGGTGCACACTGGCTACTCTAGGTCTTGGATCTGTCCTTTCACCACACTTCCAGGCAAGACAGTAGTCAAAAAAATCCTCTGGGGGGGAAAAAATGAATGAATGAAAGAATTCTGTGAAATATGATCCATGTCCCCCTCTCCTCTGGTTAGCCATGCAGTGTGCTTTCGCCCTAGGAGTAAATGCCCCGGGTGATCCATCCATCCTGCCTTTCAGACACCAAGTCCTAGATGTCCAGTTCCCAGGACCCAGGATGCCTGTGTCACCTCCCACCCCGACCCAGACCACCCTGCTTTGGCCAGTCCTGCATCCTCTGTGGAGAGCAGAGGGGTGACCAGTGCACATATGAACCCCAGCCCTGTCACCTACCTGCTGTGTGGCTGTGGGCAGCACAGCTCACTTCATAGGCCTCCGAGTCCTCATTTGAAAAAGCAGGCAGGGTCTCTGTTGCTCAGGCTGCTCGCGGGAACCTAGAGAGATTGCAGGGCATGAGACCTGCTCAGCACCTTCCTCACCACTTAGGGGCCGCAGTTATCACTGTCACCTCTGAAGTGCTGCAGAGGGAACCAAGGGCACAAGCTAGGTAAGTACTGTACCACCGAGCTGCACTCCAGCCCATGACTGTCATTATTAGTTTTGTTCATTTGTCTTTGCAGTACTGGAATGGAACAAACCCAGGGCTTTTGCATTTAGCTACATCCCCTAGCTCCCTTTTTAAAACTGTTTATTTTGGGGGTTGGGGAGATAGCTCAGTAGAATAAGCGCCTGCCTGGCAAGCACAGGGTCCTGAGTTCAATCCCCGGTACCGCAAAAACAAAACAAAACAAAAAAAATAAAACTGTTTATTTTGAAGACAGGGTCTCCTTAAATTGCTCAGGTTATGTCACTGCACCCAGTACTTTTTTGTCCTGTTTTCTGAGAAAGGTTCTCATTATGTAGTTTGGACTTTAAACTCATTATGTAGCCCCTGCTGGCCTCAAACTCACAGCAGTCCTCCTGCCTCAGCCTCCCCAGTGCTGAGATAACAGGCATGTGCTATCATGCCCAGGTGCCTGGCTCTGTCACTACTGTTAAATCCATCTTAGGTGTCCCCTGACTCTACCCTATTCCATCCAAGATTATCCCCTCCAGTCCTGTCTGCCTGCCAAGGCTTGCTCCAGGCTCCTCTGGGCAGCCTTCCTGGCTTGCCCCAGCCTGTTGGAAAGGTCCTGTGCGCCAGGCAAATCAGGCCCATGAGCTTAATTACACACTGCTCTAACAGAACTCCTGTCTTCCACCCTCCAGGCTGTTATTTAACTTTGTGTCTCTGTTTTAAAATGTAAACCAGATGACATTGCTCTTCTGCCTCAAATCTTACAACAGGATCCACCTTACAGGGAAAAAAAAACTCAGAGCCAGCGCCCACTTCCTATGATCCACACACTTGTACAGAATTACCACCCTGCTTTCCCCTTCAGTCCAGTGATTCCAAGACGGGTTGAGCCTGCGGAGCTCTGTGGGGCTGGCTCCTACATGGCATTCAGGCCTGGATGCCCTCAAGTCACCCTCTTCAGGAGTACCCCCGGTTCACAGCTACAGCATACGGTGCCACCCTTTATATTCTATTCATGGCACAATCTGAAATTGTCTCCTTTATGTTCGCCTTATTTGTTCACTGTCCCATCCCTCCCAATAAAATGTCAGCTCCCCCAATGCAGGGATTTTCACTATTTTGTAGTCCAGGCTGGTCTTAAACTCACTATGTAGCCCAGACTGGTGTCAAACTTTCAGGGATCTTGCTTACTTAGATTTCTGAGTAGTGGGATTACAGGCATGCATCACCACACCCAGCTCAAAAGGATTTCAGTCTTTTCTCTATTTTATGCTTGGTATCAAATACAGTCCCTGGCACATAGTAGGTACTCAATACATGTCTGCTGGTGCTGGGTACCATGCTCAGTGGTAGGGCACCTGCCTGGCATGCAGGAAGCTTGGGCTCTCTTCCCACTGCAGCAGAACAAGTGGGCTGCAGCATGAAGGAATGAATGCATGCACCTTATATCCTTTTCTGGCTACTCTTTGACTCTTCATCCTGCTGAAATCAACCCTCCACTCTGCCTGCTCAGGGATGGAGAGGAGTTTGCCTGGACCTAACGGGTTGAGTGAGACTCCAGCATCTTATTCTTAGGAAAGGCTTGACTCTTAGTAACCCCAAGTGGGGAGCAGGAAGTGGGGACAGGAATTCCTGGGAGCTCAATTAAGCTGGGCAGGTGGACACCGTACCCAGCATGGTACTGCTTTGGCGAGAAGACTGGCAGGAGGCCTGTGATTCACTCTTGAAAAACCGGCTTGGCCCGAGTTTCCGGGGAGAACGCCCAATGCCTTCGGGGCCGGCCGACCTGAGACCCCAGCACCCGGCTCCCCGTCCACTCTGCCCACTGATGCCACTCACTTCTTACGACCTAGACCCTGAGCCACACCTCTTAGCTCGAGTGAGAAGGGACAAGGAAACTTCCGGTTAGGGTGCCTGGTGCCTGGTGACCTCCAGGTGGGGAGTAGGCAAATACCAAGAGGTGTGGCCCAGATGTGGGTGGGGCAGCGGAGAGCAGAGGCCCTACAAGACACCTGCGCCCAGGAAGGTGTCTTGTCTAGTGGTGGAGACTCTAGCTAGGGACCCTGAGGTGGGTTCCAGTCCCACATCGGACACTTACCGCGCTGTGCGACCTTGGGCTACTACTCCCTCTCTGGGCTATCCGCCTCCGAGGAGAGGGTAATTGCCCCTCCATGTGAGGTGTTTTGACCCACAGACCCTCATGGTAAATGCCTCTATAAAGGCTCCACGGTCCTCAACAAGGACCCCAGTGATCGCCGCTATCTCCGCTGGGGTGGGTAGGGGGTGGGGTGAGAGGGTGGGTGGTGGCGTTCCGCCGGGAGAGGGATAGTGCATCCCAGCGCCCAGCCTGGAGTTCCAGCTGCGGGCCCAACCTGCACGACTGGGCGATCCTCGAGGTCCTGATCTCTGGGGTGCATACCGGACCTCCTCTAAGCCGTCCCCTCCCGGGCTGCGGACACTCACCTGAATCGCTGCCGCCAGCCGGAGCGCGCCCCACTTGGGTCTCTGCAAACTCCCGGCCGGGCCTCTACTGCAGCCGCGGCCAGGGGGCGGGGCCCGCCCCCAGCGGGGTCCAATCAGTGGCGACCACCCAGCGCTTGCGGCCAATCCTCGCCTTCCCACTTTGGGCGGAGCCGAAGGAAACATTCCAGAGGGATCGCACCGCCACGCCCGGCTCTCCCACACTCCCCTACTGCGGCTCAGTGGACTCTCCCGCTCCGCCTAGGTCGCGGCGGGTTGTACCACCGCTGGGCTGCTGAGAGGCGCTGCGACGGTCCTGGCCAATCGCGCGGAAGGAAGCAGGAGAGCGTCCAATGGGAAGCTGGGACCCCCGGACCACGTGCTGCTGGTTGAGTGTCCGTCTGGGGTGCCATGGTGTTAGGGGCGGGGATTGGCAGTGGGAGTCAGGTGACCAGAGCCGAGTTTCGGGGAAAGACGTGAGCTCTCTCATTGTCCAGAAAAACAGACTTTGGGAAGGCCTTGGGTCCCCGATCCGCTTCCCGCCTGACCTCCTCTGCCCCAGCCCTGCCTTGCTCGGGGAGGATAGAAAGATGCATTCATCGAGATGAATAGGGAGGGGTCTGGGTGTCCCTGCTACTTGCGAGGGACAATGGACAAAAGCATTCATTTAGGGCGCATTCATTCATTCATTCATTCATTCATTTTCAATCGGCTAATTAATTCCCCCTTGTGCTCCATGTCAGACTCCAAACACGGATCGATGAAAAGCTGTGTGCAAGGCCTGAGGACCAAACAGGAAACTACAGCGCACTATAGGATAGGGCAGTGTGGGGAGCTAGCCAAGCAACGTGAAAAGCATAGTGGTTTTGGTTTCTTTTTTTCTTTCTTACTTTTCTTTCTTTCTTTCTTTCTTTTTTTTTTTTGCGGTAGGGGCTCACTATGTACCCTGAGTTCATGCTGGCCTTGAATTCACTATGTAGCTTAGGATGGCCTCAAATTTGTGGCGACTCTTAGCCCAGCTTACCGAGTGATGGAATAACAGGCGTGCACCACCGCGCCTCGTGAAAAGGCACAATGGAATGAGAGAGAAGGGCATAATGTTATTGTTGCGTTTGGTTAGTTGAGCATCTACTATGTGCTCAATCGCTGGCAGTAACCAACCAACGTCTGAGGACAGGGGTTGAGTCTCCTGTGCCGATCACTGTGCCCACCCCCTCCTCCTGTGCGCCAAGACTAGTATAGGACAGCATGGATGGGTCAGGTGGCGTTCTCCAGCCTTCAGGGAAGCCCAGGTCCAGGAAAGAAAAACAAACACACCTGGAGCAGGTGAAGACTCTCAGTTCTCAAGACAGGCGAGATTTCCTCCTGGTTTACAGTTGACCACTCAGCTTCTGGAGTTGGGGCTTGAGGACGCAGTGTATTCTGGGAATTGTAGTTCTCGGAGACCTCTAGTTAGGGGTTCCCACCCTATGCGAGCCTCCTGGAAAGTCTAGGTCTTGAAGTTTCCAGGGAGAGTTGTGGCGTGCGCTAGTCTCCCCAGGGTCTGCACAGGGGCGAAGTGAAAGAGGAGCCGGGGCCTTGGGTTGAGTCGCTGAAGGCCTCCTGTCTGGCCCCACCCAGCTCGAAAACAGATCCTGCCACACCAGGCAGCAGGAGCAGCTACTGTTCCTCCCTTCCTGCGCTGACCTCTGCCACACCCACTGAGAGGGCAGTACCCCCTGCCCTGCTGGAGCCTGCGGTGCGCACGGCCGTCTCACACCCCTGGAAAGAGAAATGTGTGGAGATGAGGACAGCCCGACACAGGCTGCAGTGTCCTAAGTCTAAGTGCCCCTGCCTCCTCCTAAGGGCTGTCCAGGGACACCGAGCGGAGCGGGGACGTACCGATCTTATAGCTCACCAGGAACTCCTGAAAACAGATAGGGAGGACCAGCTGGGAAGGAGATCAGAACTGAGAGGCACGGCCGAGCCGGTGTGGTGCACATATATAATTCCCATACTTGGTAGGCTGAGACAGGAGAATCACCATGAGTAATCTGACGACCGCCTGGGCTAGTAGGTCAAGTTGAGCCTGAATTACATGGTGAGATCAGAGAGAGAGAGGGAGGGAGGGAGAGAGGGAGGGAGGGAGGGAGGGAGGGAGAGAGAGAGAGAGAGAGAGAGAGAGAGAGAGAGAGAGAGAGGAAATTCCTATTCTGGAGTGTCATGAAAAAGTCAGGTTGGTTTAGAAAAATCACCATTTTGCAACCATAAGGGAATAATTGATTTGAGGCAAGGCTTGTCACTGGAGAAGTGGATATTCACAGTCTCAAAAGATTAGCTAGCTCACAAATTGCATTTTTTATTTTTATTTTTTTTATTTATTTATTTTTTTTTAACTTTTTTTTTTTTTATTTTATTTATTTATGTATGTGTGTGTGTGGCCAGCTCAGCCCACCAGGGGGCAGGCTGGCTAGCATGTGGTGCTGGGGGATTGAACTGCGGTCCCTGATGCTTTGCTAAGCTTGTTCTAAGTAGGTGCTTTAGACCACTGAGCCATCTCACCAGCCCCACAAATTGCATTTTTTAAATTAATTAATTAATTAATTGTGTCTCACTACACAGTTCAGACTCGTAGTGATCCTCCTGTTATCAGCCTCCCCAGCAGCTAGGATTACAGGCGTGCATAAGACTCCATCACTGACTCAGCATGCCCTGGGTGCGGGACCCGCACGACATGTGGTACCGGGATTGAATCCCAGTCCCTACGCTTGTCTAAGCAGGCGCTTAGTCAGCTGAGCAATCTCGCCAGGCCTTACATTTTTAATTAGAACAGGGGAAAGGTAGTTTTTACAGATATTCCTGACTTGCAGTGGCTCCATTTTGACTTTCTGATGTTATGATGGTTATGAAAGGGAGAGAGCCTTGTCTAAAAATGTGCCGGTCACCACCTTAACCAAGTAATCAAAGTTAGCATTGGGCTGGGCTCGGTGGCGCACACCTCCAATCATTCAGGAGGCTGAGGCAGGAGAATCACTTTGAGTTCCATATCAGCCTGGGTTACATAATGAGGGCCTGTGTCAGAAAAAAGCAAAAAGTGAGTACTGGTGCAAACCAAACTACTTTTGGTTTGTAATTGAGGAGGGGAAGAGAGGTTGAAGAGAAGGTTTCAGAAGGGAGAAAAAAGAATCAGGATGTATCATGTGCAGGTAATAAATTTCCCATAATGAATGTGATTGTTATGCATACCTAAAATGTACTAATAAACTTAATTAAATAAAAGCACTTTTGAGGGCTGGGGAGATAGCTCAGTGGCATAAGCGCCGGCCTGGCAAGTGCAAGGTCCTGAGTTTGAGCCCAGGTACCCCCCAAAATGAAGAAAAAATGTAACTGTTTCTCTCTTCCTGGGTACCACAGGGCAGGGGGAACACCTTTGGGCTAGGATGTAGAACAGTGGTAGGATGCTTACCTCACACAGAGACCCTGGTACGAAAGGGAAAATGCATTGTCTAGAAATGAGCTGAGAAAAAAAAAAAAAGAAGGGCTGGTGATGTAGCTCAGTGGACTAAGCACTTGCTTAGGTAAGTGCAGGGGCCAGGGTTCAATCCCTGGCACTGCATGCTGCACCAGCCCTGCCCCCAGGTCCGCTGAGCCAGCTATGGAGCCTGGGCGAAGTAGCACATGCCTGTACTCCCAGAACTAGGGAGGCAGAAATCAGGAGAATCACTATGAGTCTGAGTTGTATAGTGAGACCCTGCACACACACACACACACACACACACACACACACAGAAAAAAAAAAACTTAAGAAAAAGAAGGGGCTGGGGAGATGGCTCTGTGGAATAAGCACTTCCCTGGCAAGCACAAGGGCCTGAGTTCAATCCCTGGTTTCACACACACAAAAGAAAGTCCATCTCACCAGATTACAAACTTATTCTGTATTCTTTTTCTATTTGTGCCATGTTTTGCGTTTCCTGTGTCTTTATTCTAATCCTAGTCCATCTGCAGAGGGGATAGAATCCAACTTTTCACTGCTCATCAGCTCTGTGGCCCTGGGTGAGTTCCTTCGTCCTCTGTGCCTCAGTTTCTTTGTTTATAAAATGGGACCTGCCTGCTAAGATTGTCATGCTCCTGTTAGGATTAAAGGATGTATTCCAGGTCCAAGGCCTCTGAGGGCACCAGATAATAAGCACTTAATGAATCCTAGCTGCTATGATTAACTGAGGGCACAGAGGGGAAGGAACACAGTGTATCATAATAGGGACAGGACAGAAGGAGCAAGCTGTGTTGTCCCCTGGCTGTGTGCCAGTCTGGTTGCTTTTCATGAATTTTTCCACTTGGATCATCATAAACTCCTGAGGCTGCGCTGATTTCACTGCTATTTGACAGAGCAGGACACTGAGGCTCAGAGAAGGGAAGACACTGGCCCAAAAATTGCACAGCAACTCATGGGTGTGGCCTGCACTTGAAGGCCAGGACAATCCAGAAACATCCCTCTGTTGGGGGTGTTGTCATTTTGTCCTAGCTGGGACATAACATCTGAACCCACAACATCAAGAAGGAAAGGTCTAAGGATCCAGTCCCTAGTGGGCCAGCTCTGAGGCAGAACCACCTTGGCAGAGGGACCACAACTCATGTCTTGGTGGCCAGAGAGAAGGGAAGAGCTGGGGACAAGAGTCAGCCTTCTAGGTCATAGCCTGGTGAGCACCTACAGACATGCTCCACCTCCAACAGCACGGTTACCTTGATTTTTTTTTTGTTGTTGTTGTTGTTTGTTTTTTGCAGAACCGGGGATTGGACTCAGGCCCTTGTGCTTGCCAGGCAAGCGCTTATTCCACTAAGCCATCTCCCTGGCCCTAGCATGGTTAGCTTAAGCTCAGCCATGGGTGGATGTGCTGCTGAGGACAACATCCCAGGATCTGGTCACCTTGAAAACCTAGTCTTAGGACCTTCTAGATCTGTGCTGTAACACATGGGCTGTACCATCCTTGACCTAGAGCCCACCTAAGATGTAGTGGAGGGGAGGGACAGTGCCAACGGACATTGCCATTGAATTTTCCCTTTTTTTTTTTTTTTTTTTTTTGGTGCCAGGAATCCAACTCAGGACCTTGCACTTGCCAGTCAGACATTGTACCACTGAGGTATAACCATCCCCAGCCCTGCCCTTGACTTTTTCTTTTTTCTCCAGTTCTGGGGATGGAAACTAGGACCATGTGTCTTCCACCCCCTGTCTTAATCTTTGGTTTTTTTTTTTTTTTTTTTTCTTTTTTTCTGCTCTGAATGCCTTCAGGGCAGGTTTGGCTGGTTTGAGTTGTGGGGATTGAACCACAGCTACCTGAGCCTGACTGCTTTGTTGAAGCAGCCCTTACTCTTTGTTTTTGTTTTTGCCATGTCTGGCATAGCTCTTGAAACTCTAGAAGGGGACGGAGGAGGATGAAGAAAAATAAGAGTCAAGATGCAGAAAGCTGGAGTCAGGTGGAGCGTCCTTTCCTGGTGAGAGAGTAAGAGTTGTCCAAGGACTGCGGTGTGTTTATTTGTACACTGGGGAAGGCTACTGTCAGTTGAAACTCCCTCTGTCTAGCAACTTGTTTGCTTGGCTTGCCTTGGGGCACTTTGGGTTCTCAGAGTTGGAACAACTTGTTCACGTGGCTTGTCTTGGGCACTCCGTATTCTTGGGGCTGACCTTGCTTCTATCCTTGATCTTCAGTTTCAGCTGCTCCCCACAGTTCTTGAAACAGAGATTCACTATATAGCCCTGGCTAGCCTCAAGCTCGTGGAGATCCTCCTGCCTCAGCCTTACTGTTACTACCCCAAGCGCCTGGCTGTCTTTGCCTGCTGGGTTCTAGGAAGCTGTGATAAAATCCAGCAGCAGGGCTGGAGAGATGGCTCAGTGGTCTAAAGCACCTACTTGAAACAAGCTTGGCAAAGCACAGGGACTGCAGTTCGATCCCCCAGCACCACATGC